AGACCGGCAGCCACTGAAAAATGGATTTGAATAGGACACAGGAAATACGACAGGGTGTCTCGGAGTGTTGTGGGACTGGAATGGAATCATTTGTTATTTTGTGTTGGGCATTCAGAATAGAAAGAGAAGTGGAGGATCCATCATGGGAATACCCAGGGTAAGAGGAATTGCCCACTTAAGATATATGGCCCAATCGATTGAAACGATTGTCTTTTGTTTATTTCGATTGCCCTTATAGTCCTCTGTGTCTGCGCAGTATATTTAAGCACATATGCAAAAGTATTTGTTTGAAAGTACTATTCAAGCTATTTTCTTACAGGATTTATATGTTGCAGATGTTCCAGGGATCAGAATGAGATGCCCTGGCCACTCTTCTACCTCTAACTTTAACATGTGAGGTCATTCAGTTATTTGGCATCACCAGCTCATTGGGTTTTCTAAACTTAAAAATCATGGCTACAGTTGGGGCTGTTTTGAGTAGAACTGATCATTTTCAAATGTATGTTTTGACAGAGGTGGGTAGAGTTGCCAAATACTGGGCATTTGTAAATGTATCTTTACCTTGTAACAAATTCTCAAGTAGAAGTAAAATTTGTCATCATTAACTACTTGAGAAAGAATGTGTCTTGTGAGAAGACTTCATAATTTATATCTGCTACAGCCAGCATATAAACAATTAACCCCTTGAGACACCAAAGTCACATAATAAAAATAATATTTTTTGCACGGGAAAATTACTGTTTTACTTTGAAGAGAGCATAGACGAATATAACGGTTTAATTTTCACGTTGGAAAGGGCTGCCTGATGGCAAGATAAAGCACACTTAAACTGATATTGAAGTACCATACAACCCCATTTCAAAGAATCTGAACTAACCCTTTAAAGGAGCATTTTCAGGTATTTATACACTAATGAAAACACACCTATGAATGTTATATTTCCATTTCTGATAATATATCCTCCTATATGTTACACACTGGACCTTTTTAAGGTGGTTGAAAGTATATATTACAAAATAATATATTATTACTAGGGATGTCCCAATCTGATCTCAATGATTGGTATTGGTGCTGATCGGTTATGTTGAGCTTTATTGATCCGATCTTTTGTTTTATGTTGTTTACTCGTCCAGCTTAAATGTACGGTGCAGCCATTGTCATCTCTCTCGCTGTTTCTTTTCTCAACTCTGCTGTGTGTGGGGAGAGAGAGAGAGAAAGAGAGAGAGAGAGAGAGAGAGAGAGAGAGAGAGAGAGAGAGAGAGAGAGAGAGAGAGAGAGAGAGCAGTCCCACCTGCTACAGAGTTTCACCACTGCCTGTGCTCAGAGCAGAGTAGGGTAGAGATCCGACACAACCACAATCCCCACGCCACTGCAAGTGCAACAATAAAAAGCCAATAAGAGTAATTAATGTTATTAATGTAATCCACGCAAAAGCTGTAGAGACGACGGAAATAAATAATTATTATTACAGTAGCCAATCATTTCATTCTGCCACTTCACTGCTGCAAGTAAGGGGAATTCTGGCTCTTTTTAGCCAGGTCATTTGGCTCAGATGAGCAATAAGATTTGTTCATGAACGACACATCACTTAGCTGTGAGGTATTTATTCCTTGCAGCATGAATGCTGTAAAGTGTGTGTGTGAGAGGGGGTGACACTAGAGGGCAGCAGAACGTCAACACAGTGCCAGCAACGCGAACATGCATGTGCACAGCTGGGAATCAAACCCAAATGGCAGGAAACTTGTGTTGAGTGTCTGTTATGTTAGAAAAGAAGATTACTTAAATGACAACAACAGGTAATTCAGAGGCATCTCTTGTTTCCTAAGAGAATATGACACTGTATTTGAGAGGAGGCAACTAATCTGGCAGATCTGATTAAGAAAAGTTTAAAATCTTTTAAAATGGCCTTCCATTAGTTCCTGGAAGGCTCTGTGATGGTACACATAGAAGAAACAATAATTATCTATAATGAAGTTAATAATCACAATCTTAGTTATAATAAGCATAAAAATAAACAACCACGAATACCACTTACGATAAAAATGTGCCGTTTTTTATTTTGCTGACTGTCGAACAGGCTGTCTCTTCCCCAGCCTCTCTAAATGTCCTGCATTCATTTGAAGTGAGATCATTGACCAGGCAATGGGCCTGCTAATGAGACATTTATTGGTATAGTTAATCAAATATCCCTCGATGATAGTTTACTGCAGGGCCACGGCAATGATGCAACCATATGTCAATAGACAGACAGCTGCCTGTTTCAAAGAAAGATCTAAGTGGCCTAAGGCAGTGCCTGTGTGTCCACGTGTACCTGTGCTTGCAGACGCTTTGAACGGAAGGAACTTGATCCTAAAGCAGGGTTACAGAAACCTGATTACAGGTTAAATTGAAGTGATCTCTGTTTGACATCCCAGGTCTTTGTTTTTAAGTGTGGAGTGGATTGTTCTGAAGTCCTGTTTTTAGGCCTCAGTATGCTTTAAACAATGTTCCTGTCAGATCGTCTAACAGCATCAGAAACCCTTTATTCCCCCAATTGTTAGTGTTTAACTTCTCTCTTAACCTCATTGTGTAAAACTACAAAAGCATGCAAAAGACTTTCTTTCTTGGAGAGATCCAGTAGGCAGTGGTTGCAGTCGGGGTGCATGTGTGTCACCAACTGGTCTGTGGAGTACCGTTGTGAAGCCTCGAGTTTGGCATTAAGGACCTTGCCATGTTGTGTTTTGCAGCCAGCAGCGGTGACGTACTGTGAGCTGAGGTGTGTTTAGTTTCGAGTCCTCCTAGAAACTATTAATTGAGACCATAAACTGTAAGCTGTTTACTGAGCGAATCTATCAAGTGAGAAGTAGACTCATTCTCCATAATACTTAATACTATTGGATTTCTTTTTTGCAGCCACTGGTGCTGCCACTTGCTGAGGACTAGAAATAATACAGGTGGTGAATGGTGTGAATGCAAATGTCCAGATCAGTTGAACAGGGCATTACACAATTAATGCCCTGTTCAACTGATCTGGGTCAGTCATTTGGAGAAAGCTTGTTGAGTCTATGTCCTAGGAGCTGGCAGGGTAAAGTCTGTGTAATGCAATACTAATAATGCAATAATGCAAAAACAGGCATCATGTGTTCTCGTCCCACTCCTGCATGCTCTACATAGGCGCCACCCTTTGCCTAAACTAGACATATTTCCAACATGTGAGAACACTGACACGTACATTCTCCATCTGGACCTGATTCTCTGGACATTGTCCAGAAATTCATATGAGAAAATGGCTTTTGACAGCAGGCTTTTCAACCACCACTCACTCTGTGGCGCTTCAGAAAAAGTAGACACACTTTAAACTTTAGACGTGGTTGAGAGACTTGTTACTTTGAAACCATGAGCCTCCTTTTCTGGAAACCTGCCAGCCAGTTGAGTTTGTTCTGAGGTCATTTTTGATGCATACTGTATGCAAGTGTGTGATAGATGTGTCATTGCTGAGAAATAAAAGAAATATAATGAAAGGAAAGTGACTTGTGTCCATAATGACAGGTTAAAGGATAGAAGGGTATAAATGGCATGACAATAATTGAGTTCCAGCCCTTGACAAATTGGACAGTCAGCTAAGACGATAAAGAATAACTATGCTAAATGCATTAAGTTAACCCATTCGATTGACATTCATACACAAACAAAATTACTGTTACCCTCAGGTGTGTGTCACTTTGTACATTGTATACTTATGTTGGGAATGTGTGTATTTAAAGGAGTTTGCATTTTCTTGATTGATTGTCTTGAGGCATCTGAGATGCCACAACATCATAGATGTCTGCATCAGGAGAGGATTGTGGGTATGCATGCAGTTTTACCTGGACACCAACTATCCCCAGGACTTCATAAGATAAGATAGCCAGGGCTTCCAAAGCTTCCATCTCATGGATTATCACGCTCACAATACTTGGATTAACTGCAGCAGAGAAACCTGGCTGGCTAATCTTTTTAGTGAAGCCGTCATTCCCACAGACTTCACTTTGTGTGTTTGTGCACAGGAGTTACTGACTTGTTCAATTATTGTCCTCTTTCTGATTAAACACTTCAGGTTGATGGGTGCAGGAGATGCTGGTGACCTGTGCAGGGAGTGAGCTGTTGGGCTGGGGGACTATTTGATGAGATCAGGGGTTTAGAGCTGAAGATCAAATCTACTGGATGGACCAAAGCTAAAAAAAGATTGAATTTTTTTAAACCCAGGAGACCTAGTTAAACCTGAAAGTTTCAACTCTGCATATGTTTGGGGTTTGTCCACTGCAAATGTACATTCTTTATTCAAAATGTTATTATTTCTAATAATATAGTATTCTAATAATATTGTTGGGAAAAAAATATTGGTATAAATAGACTCACTGGTACTCTCTAAGGGCCTGAAACTTGCTTTCAACACAGCTTTCAGCACAGTAACCCCTGATGAAACTTATTAAGACAACAGCTAGCACTTACCTTTGTGGGGGACATCACATGTAAAATCAAAACACATAAAATAATTGTGATCTGCTTTTTGCATATTGTGTTGATGAAGGAACTTGTGGATTACATTGGTGGAAATATCCACCGTGAAAAGAGAGAGAAGATTAATTTCCTGACGTTAAATTGCCCAATAGTGACTCCTCCAGGTCACTGCAGATATCGTGGTTTTCAACAGGCAGGCTACAGAAGAGAATGAGCCTAAAGTTGCAGTTCCAAAGTGACTTTTTGTCAAGCTGAATTAATGCAAGTCTAACCCCCTCTAGTGGTCTTGCAGCTGGTGTTTTTGGCCACAAACTGTTCAGAGCAGATGTTTGCTGTGACATTACATACTATCCTTGTGTCCGTGTATGAAAGAAGCTCAGAAAGAGCAAGACTTACCTAGGAGTATTATGCATGTCATATCTTTATTGTCACTTTCATTATCATTCAGTGCTTTACACTGAGATGTTGTGTCCACTCACTGTTATAAAAACGTGTGATTTAATAGTGAGATCAGTACTCACGGTCATTGCACTGTGTGCCAGTGTAGGAAGTCATGGAGCAGTCGCAGGTGTAGTTTTCCCACTGCTGGATACAAATGCCCATGTTGGCACAGGAGTCCTCCTGACATGTGGTGCTGGGACCTGTGGAAGTCCAGCCATCCCCACAAGCACACATCCACACAAACAAACACAAACACACATTCTTACATTACCAACAGTGGACTATCAGTTTACCGACCAACTGTGGACCTCTGTTTCTGGTCAAATTTACAGTCAAATATATCACTGCAAATGTGCTTTTTTATTTCTAATTTCTAAGAAATTGCAATGAGCGGACTTCCATATTCTACAGTAGAACTGTCAGTATCCATTCCTTCACCAAATTTTTTTTAATGCAAAGAATTAGTATTTTTCAAAAATGGTGAAAGGCATCATTTGTATGTACATGTACACACAGACAGAACTGGGTTTAATGCGATACAAACTCACTGCAGGCTTAACCATAATCATATAAACTGAAGCAAGAGTCGTCTTTAAAGGGAGACTGGTTTGGTCTTCTCTGACAGCACTTGTTTCACATACAAGCCTCTTGACTGATTCTCTGAAAGACTAAATTTCAGACTAAAGTCTATTGTCTGTAGAATTTCTTCTCTTTATTCCTGTTATCAATATAAAATGACCACGAGGCTATGGGGGCATGGATTGTCAAAAATGGTTTGATTTAATTGAGACTATTGTCTAGTCTATAGTGTCTGTGTCTTTTATCACAATCACACAAACTTATTATTCCTCCTCCCTCTAGCATTCCTACTGGGAACTCCACTGATGCACTGCATCTCTAACCAAGTATTGCTCAAGAAGAAGTCTCGTTCTGAAATCTCGGAGAGGTGAGGACTTGTTGAAGAAGACTAACAAGCTGATCAAGCAAAAGGTACAGAAAATCTTTCATTTCTCTGCAGGGTTGTGTTGTCCGACATAACAATCTGAGCTGATCAGTGGCAAAAACAACTTTTAATGGATGTATTTTAACAGTGCACGATTGCCCATGAGGATTACTTTGTTGCCCATTTCCCCATCAGTCACTTGGCCACAAAAATACTGGAAAATAAGGTCCTGGTTGAAAAATCCCGTCGTTACCCTTTAAGTCCCAAGTCTTAACCTTTTAAACTCCAGTCCTAAACAAACCTATTCATGGTGAAAACATGAATATTCTTGACAGAGACATTTTTATGTAAAGTCTGAAGTTAAACTCGTGACATCCACGTTATGTGTCTAAGCTTTACACCTCTACTATAAAAAAGTAAGGATGGGCAGCAGAGAAACAAGAAGAAGAATCCACACTACTGTGCTCTGTGAAGGACAAACACTTTTTCTGACTCGATCATCCAATTATTGTTTTTCCAAAATATGTCCTTACACATTAATGTATATAGATTGTCACAACAGCAGAGTGACTGCCAGTTTACATCAACTGATCTAACTCATATCAGGCTAATGTGTTGAGTGGGGACTTACCTGGGGAACTGATGCCAGCTGCACTGTTAAAGAGCTGTTCAGGACCGAGTGAACTGATGATGAGTTGGAGGAGGGGATGGAGTTTTGGAACCTACAATGACTTACAGTGCAGGGATATTCTGCAGTGGAAACTCCTTTTATTTCTGGTGACTGATCCGCTGATCTGGTTCAGGATTTCATGTAAGATGTAACAACGGTAAAAAGCTTATTCATGTTACTTCTGCTGATAGTGTTCTGTTAGATGTTTGCCAGTAGTGTAGTATCACCATCTAGTGACGAAACAATGTATTGCTACTACCTGAGCTGCCGACTCAGTAATCATTATATTTGGTAAGGGCTCACTGGCTGGAAACACAAAGCCATTTTATGCAATGAAAGCTCGTAATGAAATGCAGACAGTACGTGGTAATACAGATTAAATGGCTAATCAACTGATCATGATACATTGGCAAAAGAAAGAAAAGAAACCATACAAGCACACATAAAAATGAGACATTAGAATGCCATGGACAAGACCAACAAAGTGTGATTGATGAGATTTTATTTTGAAAAATAAATTAATCAACCATTACTTTCTTGAAGTACATTCAGCACAGTGAATAACATTGTTCTCAAACCCATTCAGATTGTCACAGCGAGGAGGACATAGAGTACACATACTGTTAAGCTCTGTTTTGATTCAAATGAAACATCAACTAACATTTATTTGTCCAACACAGGGCTCTGTAAGTTAATGTTAAAAAAAACAACATACAATACACTCAATGTCCAACTGAATGATATGGCAGGCATAAGAAAAAAAACAGCTGTACAGAAAATGATTTCCATGCAAACAAGAACAGGTTGTGGAAGCTGGCCCAGAACCTCAAGAGGATGACAAAAACAACCACAAAAGAATGCTTGCACAGGAAGATGGAAACATTTTGTCCACAGTGACATTCGCTTGCTCGTGCAAAATGTTTCGACAGCCTATTTTGATGTAGCTATATGCATGAACTATAAATCAGCTATAAACAAGCTTAGGCTAGTTGGAGTCTGGAGTACAATGCTGCTATGGTGTCACAGCCAGGTGTAATCCAAATTCATAGATTTGATGTTTTGTACTTTTCTTTGTACTCCCCCTGTAATTGACCTTTGCTAAACCCCTACCCCAAATAGCAATTGTCCAGTCATAGCTTACGAACTGTAACTATGCACAGCTTACTACTTAGTAACACAGCGTCACTTCTAAAGTCAATAATTAAGGCTGTAGTTAGTTTTTAGTGGTCCATCTCTGACTTACTGAAAATGTGTGCTTCTGTTTTAAGTCTGTTTTTCTTTTGAATCATGCTAACACTAACTACATTAGTTTGGGTGATTAAGAGATTATATTAGAAAAAGGTCCTTTTCAGGATTGACACATACACTGCATGGAAGATAATAACACCGGTTATTCTGCTTTGTACTGGGATTTGGGAAGTTTACCTGAGACAAAGTTAAACATATTGCCTGAAAATACTTAACACATAAAAACTATAACTTATAATAGATTCCTACTGTAAACAGCTGAAGATTAAAGATTCAAAGGATTCATTTGTCACATTCATGAACTGTGGTATGTTACAAGTCTATTCTTGCATTTATTTCTTTGTATAATACTGCACTTTATAGGTCCAGTGTGTAACATTTAGGAGGATCTATTGGCAGAAATGGAATGTAATATTCCATTTATTAAATGTATCCATATAAAATAGGCATGTTTTCATTAGAGTATAATCACCTGGGACCAATACTTCAAAACCTTGAATCTAGATTAGAAGTCTCCAGATAAAAGTTGCCTTCACAAAGTGTTGTTTGTATTGTAATACCGATTCTGAACTTTTTAAATCTTGCCACTGACAAATACCTATCTTATTATGATTAAAAAATGTAAAAGTAACCCTGAAACTAATAAAAACTATACAATTTTAGACAATATTGGGCGGAGAAAATAAGAATTGTGTTTTTTCTTACCTTAGAATGAGCTGTTTTTATCTACAGAATGAGAGGCCCTCTTCTATGGAGGCTGCCATGTTTCTACAGTAGCCCAGAACTGACAAACCAAACACTGACTTTCATGGGTTATCATTGGTTACAATATGTAACTTCACCGCTAGTTGCCACTAAATCCTACACACTGGTCCTTTAATACAGGATTAATAAAATACTCTGTAACACAAGACTAGTCCTATATTTCCATGGCCTCATGGAATCATTAACTGGTCATTATGCAGATTTGCTTTTTCTAGGATTGGTTAGCCAACGGGGGTGGGGGGGGTTGGGGGTTCATCATTACACAGAGTTAACATGATACTTTGTACATAGTCATCAAATGCATATTCTGAAACTGAGTTTTCAACCAACTCACAAACTTAATGTTAGCTAGGAGTTGCCAAGTTAAGTCGGGGATCCATTGTTTCAAAAATGACTACAAACCTCCAGTTATACTACTGTGTCACTGTAAACTATATATGTGCAGTTCTACAATGGAATGCTTGACAAGCAAAGTAACAGTAACTAAGGGGGGTGGGGCTTAGTGAAGGGTCAATTTGATTTTAATAATTTAAAAAATGTACTGAAGAGCGAAATGTTGCTCTTAATCTATCTCTGTACAATCAAATTAATGTGACTTTGTGCCAACACACCTGAACCAGCCAGTCGTTAGGAGCTCTGTTCCTTCATTGTTTAAGTCTCCAAACATTCACAAAAATTCAGGAGAAAAAATGAACTACAAAAGCATAAGAGATAAAAATGGAGCACCTGGCAGTATTTTATGTCACTGCACTGGCAAAAAAACTGCTCTTATGGTGATTGTGACGGCACTGTCAGTGGGCGACCAATGTGGCCGATAACATGTGGTGGTGTAGGTGAGGTGTTGTGTGGTGTTTGGCCTGACTCTAGCAGTGGGTAAGTGAGACAACAAGTACAGTTAATAGGATAGAGGGGCTTCCGTATGGCTGCAGGGCTGTGGAGCTACTGTTTGCATTGAGCAGGAAGAAAGGGCTGCTGGAGTTGAAGTTTGTGTTGTAGTAGTCTAAATCAGGCTGGGATTTGAGGGACGGTGTACCTTCGCATCCACGTTCAATCTGTCCGCTGCGAAATAAGGCGTCACTGAGGAGATCTGGCAGGCGGCCGTTGAGGTCCACTGACGCCAAACAGCCCTGGAAGCCTTCTCTGGAAGCCACCAGTTTAGGCAGATTGCCATACATGCCGGGACCCAGTCCTGCGATGAACAGATCACCTGGGGCATAGAAAAACCAGACTGTAGGACAAGTATCTTAAACCATCACATACCTGGCGTAACATGAATATAACCATACAGAAGATGACTTAAATAAATTAGTGAAAAGAAATAGTTGATTTTTGGTTTCACACAGAACATGAACAGCAGTCACCTTGGGTTAAAGTCCTGTGTTTATTTGAACAGTCCATCCAGCTCACCTCAATATGTGGGCTTTGTTGCTCCTTATACTACATCACCTGACTTTGACTGTGGGTGCATCCGTTAATACCTACAGCATCATATTTTGAAGTGGACAGCCACTGACTAATCGGCAGTATTAAACGACTTTAGAGTCAGACTGGGTTCCCCTATACACAATTTTTTGTGATGTGCAGTAGTGTTATTTTTCATCATTGCTAAACTTTAAGTGTTGGAAGTTGGTCAGTACAATGCCGCATAATGTATACAGTTGGGCAGTTAGAGGTGTCATGTCCTTTGCATACCTTTCAGGTCCAGGTTCTTGGCCCCATTGATACTCTGACTAGTGGCTGTAGCATCTACTTTCAGTGTGTGGGTGTTGCTGTTGTCTCGGGTGATGGCCACATTGTGCCACTGGTTGTCATTCAGTGCCCTTTCACTTTTTCCCTTGATGAGGTTGGGCCCATTTCCAAGGTCAAACACATAGTGGACATACCTGCAAGACAAAAGTTATTGAGGGTTACTGAATGTTTATGTGTAAATCTTCAGCACTTTGCCTTTAAAGCTTTTCTTTGAAATGTTCACAACATGACAGCCTGAAAAAACTTGGGTTCATTTCAATCAATGAGGTAGTGCAAAGTGAATTATTGGAATTTTGGTAGAAATTATATTGTCTTGTCAATAGAACTGGCCTATGTGAAATAATGTTGCATGTAAACACATTTTGATTGAGATAAAACTAACAACATTATTAAAAAGGGTCATTTAAAAAGACCTACAGGTCAGATCACATTGTAGGGTCAAGGGGACCCTTTAAATATCAACGTATCGACTTATTTATAACTTATTACTTATTTACTTATTTATGGACTTACTTTCTGTGACTGTAACCTGAGACTACTTGATGATGTTATTCTCTCTCTTACTCTCTTCGCTCTTTACGCTGCTCCCTCAAGTCGAGTCATTAACTGCTAAACCTACAATAACTGTTCAGAATTATTAACATTCGCATATTATCATCTTTTAAGTTGATATGGCCAAGTAACGGCCACTTATTTACAGAGCAACATTATCATGGAGTCATGTTTCTGTCCATTTGATGAATGTTAAAGGTCCAGTGTGTAACATTCAGGAAGATCTATTGACAGAAATGGAATATAATATACATGTTTTCATTTGTGTATAATCACATGAATATAGGAATCATTTTTTTGTTGCTTTAGATGATTGATAGAATGAATGCCTTAGACGTTTGTGTCTTCAAACCCTGTGGGTCGGGTGTTTGTTTCAGTCTGCAACTTCACTGCTCGATGCCACTAAATCCTGCACACTGGTCCTTTAAGTCCATTTTTCACTCTGGCTTTAGCTCTATTTTTTGTTGGTAGCTGTGGCTGTCTGCTGTTTGGTGCCAAGCAGGTACCGAGGGTTTTTAGAGCTTTTCTGAACTAAAACAGAAAAGTTGAGGGAAACTGCAGATTCAGGTGATAATTCTAGGACCACCACTATGAGCAATAACATTTACACATGTCACATTGTTATAATGAAAATACTGATTATAGTCACTTTTAGTTGATGATCAAAACATTTTACTGCTAAACCCTCAAGTTTTCAGTGTGCAAAAGGTTAACAAACTTACCCTTTAACCAGCTCTACAGCGATGAAATCATTGCCATCTCCAGAGTTGAAGAGTATGAAGCCATCTGGGGAGGTGGTCTTGAACTGGAAGAAGAGGTGCATGGATGTGTAGGCCTGTAGGGTGGCCAGGCTCAGATAGCTGCTCTTGGATTTGAAGGTGACGGGGTCGGCGATAATGGAACGAATCCCAAAGCGGGCATTGAGTTCGCAATAATCAATGTCACCATTCTTGCATAGGTCGATGTAGAGCATGCCGTTAAATCTGAGGAAAGCAAAGAAACAGGCATTTGAAATGATTGCTGTAAAAATAAAATCGTACTTGTTCTTCATAGTGTGGTTGAGAAAAAGACATCAGCCAAGTATAATTGAAAGTAAAGATTAGATGGGGGACCCTTAGCCGAATGACTACCTAATTATTGCATTGTATTGCTTCTGGAGCAATTGACTTTGTTAGCCATTTCACTCCACAACAAGCAAACTAATTATGAGTCTCACAAGGCATATTTAAACATTTTAATTTACATTTCAGACTTTCAGTGTTTCACATTTTTCACCAGCTTCTCATTACATTTGTCTTCAGCACTGAACCAAACAGTTAATGTGCTGTAAAACCAAAATAATTACCTAAAAGAGGCCAAAGAATTCTGTAGAGCTACAGTTGCTACGTTATCTTTTGATTTATTGTTAATATTATAAAAATAGTAATTAGTGAAATTTCAAATATTACAGAGCCCCTAACAGGAAATGGGTGGAAAAAATAGACAGGTAAAAAAAAGGGGAAAGAAAGAATACTTCTCCTGAGAAACCTGCGTTCTCTTGCAAAACTTTTTCGTTCTCCCGAGAAAAAATTATATATTGAGTAGAAAAAAGCACTTCTGGGTCAATGCTTCACGTGTGTCATTTGGGAAACGGCAAACCAACGCTATGGAGAGGTTAATACGGTTGTATTTTGACCGTGGCCTCAAATACAGATGCAGATGGACATTCTTGACTAAAACACATTGATTATTCTACATCCAACGGTAACCGTGAAGTTGTCTGCAATACTGCAGTTAGTTGTGAATTAAATCACCTAGGTCCGTCAAGCTTGAGTAAGTTTTCCCTCAAGAACATATTAAGTTCAATAAAGTCCATTCAGTGCCCTATATTGCTAGTTTGTTATCAGTGAATAAAGTTGAAAAGTTTTGTAAGAGAACACATATGTTTCTAAGAAAAACACAAGTGGAGTTTTCTTCCACCATCTCTTTTATTTCTCCCCCACGTCCCCTTAGGGCAGTTGTTCTCAAACCTTTTCTGGCATGCCCCCTTCAGAAGCTAAAAAAAGGTTCATGCTTCACCACCCAACATTTTGTATCAATAATTACCAATGATAGGGGGGAAGCAATTAATGAAAAAGGATCCAAGTTTAATTTTAGTGAAATGATCGTCAACACAAAAGCATCAGCAAACTTTTTTGCCATCTTCCCTGCATAAATCACATTCCTTCAACTTAGTTGGCTGGATGCCCCACCACGGGGCCCCACCATACAGTTGGAGAACCACTTCCTTAGGGGCTCCATAAAACATACCGTAAAACTTCAATTAATAGGCTCAACCTTCCTTTATTTGTGACAGACGTCTATATGGGACATGCCTTTAATTCCTTATCCACAAAACTCTTGCTCAGCAAAGAATGGAAATCCTATCAGATTGTTTATTTAAACCAGTATGAATATTGCTTGTATAAAAACTAAATCTTCAAATATCATTCATTTGATCATATGATACTTTGGTACAGCCAAGGAATTGTATATAAAATACGTGTTGCCACACCAGATTAGTAAAGGAGACCTGCGTGTAAAGAAGTTTTGCAGTATATATGTATTTCAAAAGTAAAGTAAAAGCAAGTGTTGTAAGTACCTAAGGCTCTGCAGATGACCAATGAAGCTGGATGGGATGCTGGAAACAAACCGACGCTCTGTCATGATGCCGGTTTCGATGTTGTGGAACTCCAGACGAGTGTGGTCACCCACCATTTGTCCTGAAGACGGGGAGGGTGGAGGGGATGGGTTGAAAAGAAAGACAAAAAACGAAAAGAAAAGAGAACACTGTCTGACACTAACACAAAAGGGCTGATTTAAGGAGAAAATTACATTAACAGTATTAGATGGATGCAAACTGTCACTAACATGCTTTCTTTGTAGCAGAATTACAAACTGATGACTGTCAATCTCTACGGCAACACACCACAGCATGGTGCACTACCACTGACAAGGCAACACTAAGAACATTTCGTCAAGCATATACCGAGTTGATGCAGGTAAGTACCTTCTGCTACATCATCGTCAACCGTTAGCTTGTAGGTTTTGCCGCGACGCACCACACGCACTGTATGCCATTCATTATCATTGAGCTTTTGCCCGGCATACAGGGTCTCCGGTCCCTTGCCTGAGAACAATGGTCAATCACAAAGTTAAATACATCCTGAACCTAAAACCAAACCTTTGTTTTCCCACCATTCAGCCTGGAATCATTAGCAGAAACTCTGCTTCAATTTAGTAGCTTTAAAATGGCTTTAAATGCATTTTTTAAAGTAGTTCCTATGCCTCTGGGAAACAAAGGTTTGGTTTAGTCAGTGAAATACACAGAGAAGAAAAATACAAAATATTTGACATCAGTAATTCTCAGAGTACACCTGACCACTGTGCTGCAGAACAGTCTCTAATAGTTTGAACAGAGAAAGGGCAACTACAGTAGGAGAATGTGCTTTTACTCATCATAGGCTTATAGAAATCTTTTCCTTTCACTTTGTCTGACCTTGAAAAGTAAGCCAAAAACATCCCCAATAAGCTGAGCCACAGTAGACACCAGTCCAATATATGATGCCATTAGCCTTTTTGTAATCTATCTCCATTATTTTTCATCCATCAACGTCAATGTATTCTCATTTCAGGAGAGGTTTAATGACAGGAATTACATGTAGGTGCTAGTGCAAACAATGTAATGTAAAGTCACATATATTTATGTTGATAAATATCCAAAGGGACACTCTTACCCTGAGGTTAGATACCTACAAGCCCTCCAAACTAAATGTGTTGATTTTCAGTGAATGATGGAACCCTTATTTTAAAGCCCCCCAAAAAACTCCATCCACTAGCTTTTTTCGACTACAGTTGAAAGCTTAGAACAGAACAGAAAACACATGGATAAAAGTGTGTTTGTTCATGTCTGTGGGGTTTAGGCACAAAAACGGGACTTGAAGTAGCACTGTCAGCCACAGTAAAATTCAGACAGATTTGTAGTATGAGCTGTCTTATGTTGGTATTTGACTCATGACGTAATTAGGGCTGTAGTCTTTCATTGGTCTATAGACATGAAAAAGAGACCAAAAGCCTCAGTTTGTGTTGCTTTAGCTGGCAGGTGCGCCCACACACTACTGCAAATGTCTTAATACCTTTCATGTTTGTTGAGTTTTGTCTCTTTGACTTTGCTCTACTATTTTGAATCTATTATATGCCGCATTGAAATGCCTGTCAAATTCTTTCCTTTGCCTTTATGAAATACATGTAGGCATCACAGTAACAGGAATTATGTGTCTCCAAATATTAATTATCAGATCTCCTGACTTTCCAACAGGATTACAGGGCACAAATTTCAGCATTGTACTATTGTGTTTTGGCACTTGATGGTCAGTCAAGGCGCTTTCTTGACTCCATTTAAAGAGTCAGTTCACCCAAATCTCACAAAAAAACTTTAAAAAAACTTAAATTCTCTATTAGCATCTGTTTTTTATTTTTTCCATGGCTGTCAGGAGTAAGCAAAGACAGACAGTATCTAGCACGGTGACATTAGGATCGTTAGGGATTTGATCTTTGTTATTCCTTTCTCTGGTCTGTAACATGTGTATTGTATCTTAGATAAAATGTCTCCACTGCACTACAGGCTTAGGAGCACAGAGCTATGACTCTACATACCTTTGTCCTTTCTGTGTCTGAGAGCACATAGAAACTGAACTGTCCTGCAAACACATCTCTTTTATCCCTGATCCGAACTTGCAAGAATATTTATAGTACTAAATGACAGCAAATTACTCTACTGGAGCTGGATCTGTAATTATGTATCATAATAAAAATATATAAATATTTATATTCATATGATGGATGTAAAACCAAAGGTCTCCATGGCCTCATTATGAGTAAAAGCAATCCATAGTTATTGGTGGAAGCCTGACAACTGCTATGCTGAGATACTATACACTATGTAGAAGCAGCAGACACATTTGTAAATGCAAACAGAACTCAATGAATTATCATTCCTAAATGTATAATGTAGAAAGTAACCTGAAATAATTATATATTAAAGCTATCACATATATATTCAATCAGTCATGCTTTAACTGCTGTTTAAATCTGGGTATTGACAGCTCAGCCATATTCATATTCAATATAAATATATTAAGTAGTCATATTCATCGTATCATGTGGAACTTTCATTTCATTCTGAATGTGTACTCATTAGGCTGTTTCTCTCTGTTGGGGCCATACTGACATTACCTTCAGGGTACTGCTGTTCATTTGTTTTGGGTACTGACAAGTTTCACCATGTTGGTAAGTTTACAACAAAGCTTTACAGTAAGTATCTTTCATTGTTAAATGCACACAGACCCGGCTCCATGTATGCTGTTTTAAAAGAGGATTTTAACACTCTCTAATCAATGTTTATACTACATGTTGCCCTTTCTCCTGAATGCAACGACCGTCTTTATTATTACACTGTTTTATACTCTTACAGTGTGGTAGATGTTTTGGTCTAATGGAATGTGGGCTTTTGAAGCATGAAGTACGGTCTCATGCACTACTCACCAGTTTTTATTGGTGCGCTTTAATGGAATTTACTTGTTATTCATGCCAATTATGTATTCTTCTTAATTAACATTAATGGGTGGCGGGAATAAGGATACACATTTGAGTTAGTAAAAGGGTGAGGGAATTAAAAATAGGGTCAGAGTTAAGGTTGTATAGCCTGTGAAGGTCCAGCAAATAGGCAAGTGTCCAACAGCTATTCTAAAATCATCAATATACTATCAAATTAAGTGTTACTGGACTGTTACTGTTTACAGTATCAAAGATATTTAGAATCACTCACTTTTTGTTGGATAATGAATCAAAGTAGTACTCAGCTTGATTATAATAAAAAGTTCAGATATGTCTAATCATTAAAATAAATCACCACTTATAACATTTGACTGAGGCTATTCCTGTTGGTTCCCAACCAAGTGAGCAAACGCCACATGATAGGCTAAAGAGAAGGTGGAGGGGCGGTGCAGGACATTTTAAAAAAACACATTTCCTTGTAAAAGAAACAACATCAACATACCATCAACATAGAGAGCAAAATGAAACTTGAGTGTTAACTTACTGGAGTTACAGTTTATCCTGATACAGTCTAGATGGGGAAGAATAAATGACAGATGAAATTGCATCCTTCAAGGTTACTGCTGCAGACATCCAAAAACAAAAAGTCCACCCTTCCGGGGACGCACACATGCAGGAAGGCAGCCATTTTATTCCGTTGGTATTTATATTTAACTTTATGCCAAATGACCATTAAATAAAGATTTCCAACAACATCATTTAATAGTAAATAAAATAATGCATGAATTTGTCAGTCATAGAATTGTGCTGGTTAATAAAAGCTGCTTTTCTAGAGCTTGTGCTCATTTGTTACCCATAGAACTGGAGTTCAAATTCATTAATTGTTTAGGCACAGTATTTACAGTAAAATGGCCACTTGTAGTACCAGCTACATGAGTTTCCCAACCCAACACTGACTGTTTGATTTTAGGCGTAAATATTCAGATTAGAAAAGTCAAAGTCTCTGGCTCCAAAGCCTCCACACCAATCAGCTGGTAGCAGCCATCTGTTTTAGAGCCATGGATCTTTGAAAAGTCAAGAAATTCAGACTGATATCATTTTGATTTTGCAAAATTTAAGACAGTAAAGTCATAATGAAAATCTGATGTATCTGAACAGTCCAGAATAACTGCTGTGTGCAGCTGAAGACAGTAAGGGTTGGTCACCATGTGGCTGGTGGTTTCATGTGTCGTCAACCGCAACAGAAAAGTGGGAGCAAACAGCCACGATCCAATCAGCACCAGCACCATGCAGAGGCACAGGAACCCCAACCGTCACATCTGGAGTACTAGCCTACGCCTACATGTGTCATTAAAATAGGTCAGAGGCTACATCTGTCAATATTTACACTTTTACAAACATTCTGTAGAAAGATCACACAGATTAACGTTGGCTAAGAAATCATAAGAGCACTGACCAATTAGAGCTGCAAATATGTCTGGGGGTATGCTTTACATGAATTAATATAATCAGTGAAGGATTTATCTAAATGTGGCTTTGCAAAGCAGCTAACATCTCCTACAGGGCTTACATTTTCCTCAACATACAATATAAAAGGTATAAATTGAGGCGTATGACTCATTTTACATTGTTGCATTCTTTACATTTAATAATTGAAAGTCTTTGGGAGTATTTGGGGTCGCAGCCAGCTGTAGGTTTTGCTGGGCTCTGTTCTCGGGCTGTTCGCCTGACGGGCCGCAGGCTTAAGGCCTTTGAAGGGGTGAATACCATCTTTTGACAAAGCATGATGGAAAATGGAGTTGACGGGTGTACATAAAAACAAAACACTGAAAAAAAAAAAAAAAGCATAAACTTCCATAAAAAACACCATCATCAGCAAAGAAAACAACCACCCGGAAGAACAAGAAGGTGACAGAGAAATGACTCAATGTCAGACAGTAAAATTAGGTTAGTGGGAAAGACGAGAAAAGGTTCTTCTAATGTCTTGTTCAGTGATGGACTGAAGATCATACTTGGTGGAGGTCATGTCTTAGAAAGTCTCAGCACACTTTGTTCTTTAAAAGAGCTATATTAGAGACTAGACTTTAAAGTCCAGGATCTCTACATCATATTGTGTTCTGGTTATTGTGCTGTGACTGTCTCAAAACTTCTGTAAACAAGAATATGGATATGACTATGGTTTGTCTGTTTCAAAGATGGGCATCAAACATGTTTACCATTGAAATAAAATAAGTTATGATGGTATAAGCATAAGTTCAGATGTTATCTAGTTGTATTTGGTAAGCAGTCCATAGCTATCTGTGTGCACAAACCCAAGAACATCCATGCAATAAACATAAAAACTGTCTTATCTATGTTATCTAAGGTCGAAACCTTTTAAAGGATCACAGTGAGGAGTAACTGACGAAAAGATAGTAAGAGTGAGAGGAGAAGGAGGGAGAGGGAAGGTAACTGCTCAACGGTAAACCGTTTCATGGTGAAGGTGGAGGTGTGGAGGCAGATGGGTGGGGTATGGGGGAGGGGCATACGATACCTAGGTTGACCGTGAGTTTGACACGACCCCCGTCCAACTCCAGCCTAAGCGTGTCGGCTGAGTCTCGGGAGGTGGTGGCCATGAGGAGGCCATATGCCCGTTGGGAACGGAAGCGCAGGGAGACGTCCTCGGCCTCCGTGTGCATGATGGTCGGCATCACCACCTTCATGTACATGCTGCCGTCATAAGAGAGGATGGAAGCCTCTGTGTGAGGAAGTCAGGAGAGTAGAGACATGTTTAGTTGTTTAGTTGGATTTCAATATTTTGTGCTGTTGAACTGATAATACTCAATGTTGTAAGAAAGTAGGGGTGCTGGGGGAAAAGGGAAAAAAAAATTTTTTAAAAAAAAAAAAAATAAAAAAAAAAAGTTTTGTTTTGTTACTGTAATTTTTTGTTTTATTTTTTGTTAAATTACTGTAAGTTAGCACAATCTGTGCAATAAAGAAGTTACCAGATTTTTATGTTAGAATGGAATCTTGGTCTATACTGAATAAATAAATATAAAGTAACTGTTGAGATACTGAAACTGTAAAGAGAACCATGAGAACAATTTGGACTCAGTAAAGTGAAATGTGGGCTAACAATTCTAAAAAAATAAAAAAATAAGTCGTAATGGTTCTCAGACTTTTTCTGGCGGGTCATGACTTTGCTATCCTGGGAAAGAAAATGGCGAACGGACGCTTCCTGATACCACATTTTAGGCAGTATTGGAAGAATTTCAACTTGTGCACTTCTGCCCAACATGCGTGAACCAATACAGTGGGTGCTCTTGGAGATGGCCACACAGTCCATGAAACCAAGACCTACCACTTTGTGCTTGCTCAATAAAAGATGCTGTAAGTGAGTTACAGTTTTGGCTAACTTCCTGTCCGTTCTTGCAGTTAGCAGTCCACTCCTTCCTCCCCACATCACCACCCTGACATTCTGCTGCCTGCCCTTGAAGACCTCATCTCTGTGGAGTTTTCTCTTCTGATAGGATAAAGTTGGAACGGGATAGCAGACAATGTTTTCTCTGTTTCCTGCAGAAAGGAGGGACTGGGAGACCCACGTTACTGACTGAACGCTCTGTATCAGTGATTTCTGTCAGTATGTAGAGCTATATAAACACAAATTTAAACAAAAAAATATCCATTACTTACATTGCTTTAAAGCCAAAACAAATGAAAAGAAACTTGAACAGCTATAATTGACAATGACAACTGGACCATAGGATGTAATTGAAAGCCCCTGTTGACGGACCTGCACTGTAGTGAGATTGTTTTGCCTAATAACTGCCGCAGTACAGGTCGTACTGGTAAAATGATTTGGTGTTAGGTCTAGGGGATTTAATTACTGTTAAGCTTTATGGCTGTGCCAGCTATTAACATAAGCTCAATGCCTTCGGATGCCAACAAGAAAGTGTGCAGGCCTCATCAGAACCCTGGCGAACCTGACCTGCTTTCCACAGTCGCTCAACTCTTCCCCCGTAGGGTCTCTCATTTGCTGGTGGTTTAGAGCCAGACTGCTTGTGTAGCTAACCGTGCACTGAGCTCAGCGTTGGTCTCGGTTCATTTGGGTTAACAAATAGACGCAGACAGAAGCTCAGCCAAAGGTTTATGATTTATTGTCCATCACTGTCTAAATGAAAAGTCGCTCTTTGTTGTAATCTGTAGCACGTCAGTCTCATCAGTCCCTCTGGCGTCTGCCCTCACAAATATTATATTGTATAAGACCTGCCTTCTCGAAGCTTGGAAAGCAATCAAAAACAACCATTGACAACTTCCAACCATGACGACACAAACAGAGGCAAAAAAACAACAGTGTGGAAGTAGCAGTAGCAGAAAGAGTGAGGTACTATTACACAAAGGCTGCTTCCACTGCCAACGACAGCTAATCCCTGCCAAAAACATGAAATGGTACAGTGTACGCCTCATTTATTTGGCTCCAGGAGTTGTGAAATAGCCTTCCCATGTTGCTCTTTTTAGTCCGTGTCCTCGTCTGACCGCACACTGTCGACACACATCTCTGTACTTCAGATGGGCTGTTACACCGTGCTGTGAGCTGATTCTGCTCTCAGCATAGTGCTCAAAGTCTCTCTCACACACAAACACAGAGAGAGAGAACAGAAAGTGTGTGTGACTGAGCTTGCATGTCAACACATTAATCTCTGTGACAACTGAGCAAACTCTATCCACAGATGAAGACCGTGAGAGTCCAGTTACAGTTGAAAGCTCCGGAACATGTGGACCTTGACTTAGGATTGTTTTTAAAACATCTGCATGTTGTGTTATGAATTATATTCAACATTGAAATCTTTAGGGGGCACCAGTAGGGTTCAGACTTCAAAGTCTCTTAGAGGATTTCAGACATGCACTTCACTACATGATCTTGAAACTCTAAATGTTCAGTTTCTGCCAATAAAGTCACTCTCAAATAAACTAAAATATATATATAAATATATAAATATCGAGTACCAAAAGAATGGATAGAGGAAGTCTTGCTGATATTAAGTGGTGCAGACAACCATGGAAAAAAAGGCACTCCATCTTCAGGTAAAATGATATTATAATTTTTTTCTTCGAGCATGTAGGCATTTAAAAAGACTTACAAACATAACCCATACAGGGTGCTAAAATAATGATAGCATGGACCCCATACATGTATACATACTAAACAGATGTGAATCTACAGTGAGGCATAATAACATCATAATAATAAGTAATTTACCTTAAGCTAAAACATATAAAACCTTGAAAAAAACAATACTAATAAACTTAATTTATATTTATGAATATGTCCAAAGTAGTTGATATATGACCATGATACTCTTGTCCAGTCAGTATGCATTTAAACCTCCAAGTAAAATAGCTTTTTTTTTTTTTTAAGCAGTTTCCTATAAAGGTTCAGTGTGTAACATTTAGTAGGATCTATTGGCAGAAATGAAATATAATATTCATAGGTGTGTTTTCATTAGTGATAATCCTGAAAATAAGCCTTTTATATCTATAGACAACACGGGTCGCCTTCAGTGGAGGCCGCCATGTTGAACCGCCAAGTTTCTACAGTAGCCAGAACGGACCAAAGTTATTATAGTTTTATATTTTTCATTATTTTTATTTTTATTTAGTTTCAATTTTGTTTTCAGTTCAGTTTAGTTTCAGTTAGTTTCCAGAGTGGGTTTGCTCCTATTTTATTGTTAAATACTCAGTTTTAGTTTATTTTTATGTTTTTTTAAATATAATAATATACGTATTACAATACAAACACACTGACTCACAATCTCAATAAAGACATGTACTAATGCCTCGTCATGCTTGTTGTGTTGACAAATTTGACCAAAACTAAAGACTTTTTATTTTATTTTAGTGAGTACACAATATTGTTTCAGTTAGTTTTCGTGTTTTTCTAAAGTCTGGTTTTTATTTTTATTTCAGTTAATTTAAATGTTAGTTTAAGTTTTTAGTTTAATTTTAGTGAACTATAATAACCTTGGAACAGACAAACGCTGGCTGTAGACGGGGCTGTTCACCATTTTCACACATTTTGCAGCCACCATAGTCTCTCCGTCATACTTCGAAGGGGAGGGTGAAGCGAGGGAGCTGCGATCTGCAACGACACCACTAGCTGCCACGAAATCTCACACACTGGTCATTAAAATCATGATAAAAATAAGAATCATGTGGAGCATTATCAGTACCCTCCTGAATCTCTCATTCTCAACAATTCAATTCAGTTTTATTTGTATAGCGCCAATTCATAACAGAAGTTATCTCAGGACACTTTTCAAATAGAGCAGGGGCCTCATGTACTAACGTTGCGTACGCACAAAATTCGTGCATACGCCATTTTTCACGTTCACGTTCGTATGTACTAAAAGTGAAATGAACATGAGAATGTGCGGTCCTCCACGGCAGCTTCATTGCTGGCGTACGTATATATTTTTTGCTTATGTCAGTTGTCAGTTGGCGACACTCACAGGCGATGCATTGAAATTGCATAGCCGAAATTAATAATTGCTCTAGGGACAGTTGCACTGTATGCGAAAGTCATTATTATTTACAATCAATCAAGCAATTAAACAATTTTAAATCATTTGCAGATTATTTGTGTTAAGGGGTTATTTACTGCAGCGCGCAGTCCTCTACTGTGTATGGAGGAAGTAGAACACACTCGAATTATCTTTAGCCTCTTGGCATATTTATTTAACAGTTAACAATGAAGTGCGGACCGATGTGCCGCCGTCTCATCAGCATGGCTCACACACAACAACAACTAGCGCTCACTGGGAGCGTGGTGACGTCACGTCTTGTACGTACCGTAACCCTTTCACAATACAGCAGTACAGTATCAGTCTACCGTAATACAGGGACTCCACCACCTGTGGCCTGAAGGCTCTGGCGATGGGCGGATATGTCTTCATATCTGACCACTTCTTTTTCAACACTGCTGCGGTGCGGTTCTCCGACCCTACCAAGTTTACTGCCTGTGCCACGCAAAAGATTTTTTTTGGGGGGCTCTACCTCCGTCAGCAGCACCTCCAATTCACACTCCGTAAAAAAAATTTTTTCCTGGCTTTTGCCATTTTCCTAAAGACAGCACTATCTAGGCCTATTTATACTAATTAGCATATTCAAATCGGTGTATTTGAGGGAGGGGACAGGATGGAGCGTTGTGCTCGTGCATGTGCGCTCAATTTCACGTTGATTGCGATGTACAAAGACAATGTGCGTGGGATTCTGCATACACACGTTTTGATACATCTGAATTTTTTTTTGCGTACAGAACTTTCACTCTTTCAGTGTACGCCACATTCTAGTAGGAAATCCACAAGTCTTAGTACATGAGGCCCCAGGTCTAGACCGAACTCCTTATAACATTATTTACAGAGACCAAACAGTTCCCACCATGAGCAAACACTTGGCTATGGCGTCAAGGAAAAACTTTTAAGAGGCAGGAACCTTGGACAGACCCCGGCTCTAAGTGGGTGGCCGTCTGCCTCGACCTCGAAGTCAGCTGAAACTATTTCAGGTCCGAATACCAATAGTTGAGACTAGGCCATTTCACTGCATAGGTCTAGTGATCATTTATACAAGGTATTGCCCGCCTGCTGTCTTAGTTATTTTTTAGAGTTCTGGGATATCACTAGGTCAAATCTTGGGACTTGGGTTGGTCCCTTTTCTCCTTTATGTCTCTCTCCCTCCCTCAGTCCGGCTTTGTCCTCATCT